TTGTTGAGGGACAAAGGCAGGAGTAAAGATTTTGCCTGAGCCCAGTGGGGTTGTGGCAAGGTCTTGTACTTGTCTTCCCATCTGTATTGTGCATCCTCTTGTAAGTATAGTGGGCCTTTAGTATCCACTGGAGTTTGATTCCAGGACGACCTGTGGATACCAAAATCTGTGGATGCTCAAGTCCCATTAAATACAGCAGGGAAGTAAAACAGTGACCTTTATATAAGATGGCAAACCAAGGTTTACTTTTTGGAATTTATATATATTTTCAAGCCATGAGTAGTTGAATCTGAGGATAAAGAATCTGTGGATAAGGAGGACCAACTGTAGCTTGAGATTGAGAGGCTATCTGTACCAAATAAAAGCCTGACACCAAGAGCCTTTGAGAGGGAAGCCTTAATGTCCAAAATAGATTGTATTTCAGTGATTCCCCCAACTCTGCCTACACATCTACCAGGAAATGTCATCACAGCCTTCTGTTGTTCTCCTTCTCTCCAGGTGAATTCAACTGATCCACTTAACACACCAATTTGGAAGCATCAATTAGAGCTACTTTTGTCTGTTATGCCTATCTATTTCCCACATTCTTTGCCTTGGGCAGGATCTTGATGCTTCAACAGCAGAGTGCCTCTGTATGTTATGTTTCACAGCAAGTACACTATTAGCTGCCACAACCAAGTAATCTCAGGTTTGGGCTTTCCTGCCTTACAGTTTTTTTCTAGAGAGAAAATGTAAAATATGTAACATTCCCAGTAAAGCTGATATCTCCTGATCAGAGAAGTGTGCCCCCCTTCCCAACTCCAGGCTAATTTAAATGCAGTCAGGTGGCTCATTTAGTTCAAGTTATGTCCATAAATCATGTTGCTGTATTTTTGGGGTCAAGTGGCAGGAGGGAGGGGCCATTGCTATTTTGGAGATTCAGCTGCTTACAGATCTTAGCAGGTAAATTGCAAGTACGGTATTGATTTTGCTGGAACAATTTATACTGGAGAACATCTTTCTGGAGATGCTCTGTGTTTTACCATACTGCTAAGTGGTCCATGGAGAAATTAGGTGGGAAAGGGCCTGAGACAGATTATGAGGATAGTCAGAGGCACTGAAGAACCCTGGAGGAAAAGGCTGCTATGCTGTCCTTCCTTTACTAAAAAACCATGTGATAAGGAACATGAGGCTGGGCCAGCATATAAAGGGCACAGTCCCTTTCAATCCAACATAGCCCAGGGATAGGGAATAAATGCCCCCCTCATGTTATTATACTCCCATTTAATCAAACATGACCATCAGGGATGATGGGAGTTTCACTCAGATACCAACCAGATGACCCACTGGTTTGTTGCAAATGTATGTCCCAATTTCATCATTCTTGCCAGATGCATCCAAACTGGCTGTACAGTTCTGGGAGTTGTGATCCCAAAAGAGAACTTTTCCAAACTCTGTGATATGAGGTGGGGGAAAGCAGAGAGGGGAAAGCAAAGAGGGGAAAGTGCCTCTTTCTCAATGAGTCAGTGTGGTGGAGTCTTCTTCTTTGGAGGTTTTTAAACAGAGGCTGGATGGCCATTTGTAAGAAGTGCTTTGATTGCATCTTCCTACATGGCAGGGGCTTGGACTGATTGGCCCTCAGGTGTCTTCCAACTCTATTCTATTCTATTCTATTCTATTATTCATCCTCCCCCTACTGCTGTATCTCTGTCGTTAGCTGAAGAAAAATACACTTTTCATATACATGCTATAACTGAATCATAATAAGGAAATTAAACATATGACTGCTATCCTAAGCAGGCTTTCTTGAGAGTTAACTCCCTCCAAAGCAATTAAGACCTCCTTTGGAAGAAATATGTATAGAATAGTAGGCACTA